AGGTGACAAGAGCATGGGTGACTGTGCGCAAGGCATCCCGGTCCAGAAAAGGCCGCAACTGGTGCACCAGGCGTACCCGGTAAAACGCCCCCCTGGCCACAGCCGTCAACTGGTCTTCCAGTGTCAGCCGTGGATCCAGGAGGACCCCCAAGTTGCGTACCCTCTCCGAGGGAGCCAAAGTTTCGCCCCCTATAGTCAGTGAGCCTTCCAGGTACCCTGGGAGTCAATTCTGAAATGGATTAGGTTTTAAAATATGGGAAATAATAAGAGTGAATAGTAAAGAGTAAATAGGTACGAAAGCACAGTAGGTGTTTTACCTTGCTCTCACTTGCACTGACACACACATGGCTATGGCTATATTCTCTGTTGAAAGTGTGTGTAAGAAGGCGCAAGCACTGCAAAAAAATGGAGAAAGAGAAAGGAAAACTGAGTTTTGATTCTGAGAACAAAAATTAACTATATAGGTAATCCTCTATTTACCATCACAATTGGATGGTTGTTAAGAGGATCACCACATGACCTGACTTGATTTTACAATTGCATTTATAACAACCATATAGTGAGTCATCACTGTCATTAAGTAAACTGTGTGGTCATTAAGCAAATCCAGCATCTCCAATGGACATTTTTTGCCATTTTCTATCAGAAAAATGGCAAAAAAAACACCCCTGCAAATCATGGTCACGTGACCACGGGATGCTGCAACTGGTTGTAAATGTAAGATGACAAGTGCCTCAAATGCAGTCATGTGACCATGGGGGTTGGGGCAGCATGTCATTTTACAACTGTCAAAAATGCTTTACAGGCTGTGAAGCACTCTTTCCGCAACATGTCAAGACTGTCATGACTTTGAATGGTCATTAAACCACTTGACCAGTAATTAAGTGAGGACAACCTGTAGTCAAACAAGTTTGGATAACTTTTATTCCTATGGATAGTCTTCCTGCCTTTCTGTCTGTCTCTCAACATACATGTCTCTCTCCTTTCTCTCTTTTTCTCTCCAAGGGCAGCAAAGATTAATAAGGACTTCACTCGAATGTTCAATCCTTTGAGGAAGTGGAGGAAAGGAATAATTTTTGTAACGGCACAAAACAAATATTTATAACTGATGATAAAAACTAGTGCAGCTGGAAATTACCACCATGTACCTGTATTGTAGAAATCTATAGATATTTTCAATGGGCCTCCAAATTAAGGAAATGCTCTTTGCTGAGAAAGCTTTCCTGCTAAGAAATGTTATCTCTTCATTCAGAAATGACTGTTACTTTCAGAAAAAAATATTATTGGAACTTGCAGAGACTATTCAGATGCCTTCAGAATGCAGGTACAGAAATACCCGTTAGATCTTAGACTTAAAGAAAATATGAAAGTCAACTTTTTCAGCCCTATCCCAGCCGATAGGCACATTCCATATTCTATACCTTGACTGCAAGTTCTTTCTGTCTCTCACTAGGAATGTCAAGAGGTAAAGGCCTCCCTTCTGGGGTACCATCTGCAGAGATTGGAGATGAGACATAAGATGTGCTGCGGGAATCAGACTCTTCACTGGAACTTGAGGATAAGGAATCCAGACCTAAGCGCTGAGTTGTCTCCAGCTTCTCACGCAAGAGCAGATAATGTCTTGTTTTCTCAACCTGTGGAAAGAAAAGCTAGTTTGCTATTGATACCTTCCATTATCAGGAATGGCCATGCCAGGTGGAGGATTGTGCAAGTTAGAATCCATACATCCAGGATAGTGAAGAGCATTTTAAGTATTTTACTCTACATTAATCTACTCTTGCCACCTGCCCATTACTTGGGCAGGACTAAGTTGGGCAGGCCTCAGGCTAGAGTCTTACTTCTTGTAGAAGACTCAATTTTTCCAGTTCCCATTGATGATCCAAGATGAGACTGTCACTACGGGGTCGCCACCCAGCTAAATTCTCTTCTCCTCGTACGTAGGCCACAGAGGTGTCCAGCACACGCCTTCGTCTCCTTTGCATACCTACAGAGGAAATGTTTATTCAGCCTAGCTNAAGGGAAATGAGTTTGCCCAATGAAGCTGTAACTCATGATGGATCACTCTGTGGCACAGGCATCTGAGGAGATGAATGACAGGAAAAATCCAAATTTCAGATGGGGATCTTCCAACAGCACCCATTATTTCACTTTTTCTGTTTTTTTGAGGTGAGCAGCTCTTTTAAGTTAAATTCTTGCCTGGGTTGTTGTTCGTCTGGACAATTTGGACCTGTTGGAGAAGCCAAGATAGAACAAATGTAAAGGCTTGAGAAAAAAAAACAGAGGCATTACACTTCAGACTTCCATCCAGGTGCAGGAATCTCAACTGAATCAGAGGTTGCACATCTGTAATGGTAGTGTAAATGCTTTACTCTTCTTCTAGAAGAGCCTTTTTCAATTGGTTCCTTCCATAATTTTAAGTCAGCTATCCAGCAATGGGAGCTGTTGTGCAAGACATCTTAAGCAAGACATCTTGGGAAAGCCATTCTGAAGAGGAGCCTTTTAAGGCATTCAGTTACCTTATTGATCCAGCCAGGAGAGGGTTAAATGCATATAGCCAATCATGCATGTCCTTATCATTGCTTGCTTGCAACAGAATTCCACGATGTTCAGTGCACACTGCAAAGGTGTTAGGCGTCTAAACCAAATAAAAAGTTGCTAGTTAGACTCATTAATAGAAGAACAGGATGACTACGGTATATAGTGACTGCAACTATAATGACTACAAATTACAGAAATCAAGCCATGTGATCCCAGACCCATATTTTGCTTGCATACAGTCTTAACAATCCATATTGCAACAGACCTGGTTTTGAAATATTTGATGCACACATTCTTTTGCTAATATGGGACTTGCAACCTACATTAATCAGAATGAGTTTGGTTATTTGTTCTCATCCCCCCAAAATCCATTCATCAAATTATTTATTGATATATTTATTATAAATATATCTTGCCTTTACTGTTTTTATAAATAACTCAAGGCAGCAAACATATCCAATACATCTCCTCCTCTTATTTTCCCCACAACAACTAACTACCCTATGATGGGAGTTGGACTAAAAGAATGCCTGGCCCAAGGTCACCCAGTCGGCTTTCATGGGATTAGAACTCACAGTCTCCTATCTTCTAACCTGGTTCCTTAACCACTAAGCCAAACTGGCTCTTAAAATGATTACTGTCAGTTTAGCAGTATATTTATCTGACAGTCTAAAGCAGACATGTCAAACACAAGGCCCGGGGGCCGGATGCGGTCCGCGAAGTGGTTTCATGTGGCCCGCGAAGCCATCCTGGAAACAGTGAGGGAACAGTCCCCGCTGCCTTGGCCCTGGCCCAGGCCGGCCGGGAGCCAATGTACAATTTTGTGGTAGCCATTTATGCTGAAACGCATTCAGTCTTAGCTCCACAAGGCCGTCTAGAAACAGTGAGGAACCAGCCCCTGCTGCGTCAGTGCCGCCCCCTGGGTGCATGCTGGGGAGGTGTCACCCTTTGTGAGGAATGAAGAAATGGACCATGCCTTGGTGCTTGCCCCGGTCCCACCCCCTTCTGCCAGAGACCCTTAGATCTGTCCCAATACTGCCCAGGCCCCCACAGGGACCCTTGACACGAATGATGTAGAACTGGCCATGCCCACCCAGTAGGCCATACCCACTCCATCCACACCCACCAGTAGGCCACACCCACCTTGGCCACACCCACCCAGCCCCCCGAGGGCAACCGCAATGCTGATGCGGCCCTCAATGAAATTGAGTTTGACACCCCTGGTCTAAAGAATCATCTTGGCCAGTGATTTTCTACCTTAAACCTAGGTCCTATTTACAGTGATTCCAAAAGCAACCTTATCATTGTATTTCCTAGAAAAGAAAGGTGAAGGAAAGAAAATAACCTTCCAGGGAAGAAATGGCAGCTTAAAAACAGCTCCATGAAAAGTGGAGCCAGAATTCACCGAATACATTAAACTAAAATTTCCTTGGCTTGTTTATGATTCAATATATGTGTGAAAACTGACTCGGAATCTTGAAAAGGCAAAACATTCGTTGCAGGGACAGTTATTTTAACAAAGTTTGTTCTTACTTTTAGCATTGCCTGCTGGTCTTCACTGTACTCCACCTGAGCTGATGAGAGATTGAGGACTGCTCTCTCCACAGAATCTTTGTCGCCGTTATAGATATAGACGTAGGGGCGTCTCACAACCACATAGCGCTTCACCCACCCATTTGTATGGGGTTCCAGAAAGTGTAGGTAGCCTTTTCTGGAGACAATAGGGCTGTGGAGGAGACACATTGGCATCCCACTTAGTAACCACATACAAACGTCACAATGTATACTCAGTAATCAATCCTATGGAGCAATTTTGTGGCCACTGGCACATCTGGAAGACTGATGGGTGGGATGGGTCAATATAATTGGAATGAGATGACTCTCTGATAATCTGGTCCAGCTCATAATGATTGGAATAAAATTCACAGTTTTGGCCAAGTTGCTAATTTTTCCACTTGCCCATAGTTTTTACCTGACCCGAATCTCTTGAATATCAGGAACCAACAGGCGCTGGATTTCTTTATCATCCTCAGACCCGCAAGCAGGGGATTTCTTCTTCTCTCCTTCGATTGTGAGCTCAATTTCAGGACTTTGTGCCCTGGAAGGGAGCTGCAGAGTTCTGCGGAGAAAAGCAGGCTTATAGCTTCAATTACCTTTTGACCAATGGTCTTTATTTTTCATGGTAAAACTATGCACCTTTGATACATAACCCCGACATTTTTTAGCCTTGCTACCTTTCTTACCTGGCTTCTGTAGCACTATAATGGCCTTCAATCAGGGATGGACAAGTTGAAGAGGGGGTCAAAGTAGCACTACCAAGGCCTGACATGGAAGGGTCTCTCAGCAAAGTCACTGACATTTCAGATAGCTGGGTATAAAAAGAATCTGTTACTGGATATGCTTGTCTGAAAACAAATATCTCCAAATTTGGTTGCATGCTTCAGCACTTTTGCAACTAGAGTATATATTCAGGACCTTCCCAGAAAACAGGTACCCTAATGTCTACAAATTATGTGCATTTATCATTTATTCTTCTAAAGGCAGTATATGTAGTAAAAGAGAAAAATATGAGTTTAGGACATCAGAATGAAGTTAGAATAAGCCCTCTAGGGCAGACATGTCAAACAAGGCCCACGGGCTGCATCCAGCCCACAATTGGCTGATATTTGGCCCACGGGGATGTCCTGGAGACAGTGAGGGACTGGCCCCCGCCGCCCTGGCTCCAGCCCTGCCCTGCCCGGGAGCCCCCAAGGCGTGTGCACAGGAGGTGGTGAGCACAAGGGGGCTGACATCTGGCAGCAGGGGCTGCATAGCCCACTATGAATACCAGCCTGCCAGCAGAAGTGCTGCGGCGGCATTGGCCGCACGTGGATTCGGCACATGATGCGGACTGCTGGACACGCCTACTCGGTCCCATCTCTTTTTGGTTGGACAGCAGGTCGCTACTGGTCATCTCAGCCCCCTCATGGGTCTTGTCCTTGGCCCGCGGATGGAGCGCATTCCCCTCGCGTACCTCAGTACCCATCACAGCTGCCAGCCACTCACGCAGGTCCATTACGCTGCTGCCCAGATCTGCAGGCCCGTCCAGCACGAAGGAGGTGAAGTGGTCAGCTAGGAAGCCCCGAGTAGAGGTGGTAGAGTACGTCCAGGGCCAGCAGGCAAAAGACCACCCCAAGCAGGGAAAGCCGGATCCCCATCGGCACCATGGCTGCCCAGCACCAACAGAGATGGGGGGGAGGCATTCAATCTTGGCTGGGCCTGGGTGGCCATGGCGCAGATGGGGATCCTGCTTTCCCCACTTGGGATGGCCTTTTGCTTGCTGGGCATGGGCATGCTCTACCACCTCTACTTGAGCTTCCTAGCTGGCTGCTTCACCTCCTTTATGCTGGGCAGGCCTGCTGCTCCAGGTGGCAGTGACGGCCTAATGGACCTGCACAAGCTGCTGGCGCCGGCTCGAGGTGGGGCCAAGGTGCATCGGCTGCATGAAGGGAACAGGCTCCACGCGCAGGCCAAGGGCAAGATCTGCAAGGGGGCCGAAGAGATGACCAGCAGTGACCTGCTTTCCAACTGAAAGCAAAAATAGATGGGACGGAGTAGGCATGTCCGGCGGTCTGCATCATGTGCCTCCCCCCTCACCTCCCCTACTCCGCATGCTACTGGAGGGCTGGCCCAGTATTCGCAGAGTGCGTTGGTCGAGGGAACAGCAGACTGTGGCTGCTGGGGGAGGGCCTTCTCTGTGGGAGCTCCCACCCTCTGGAATGAACTACCCCCAGAGATCAGGGTGATCCCTGATCTCCCTTCCTTCCGCCGCGCCCTTAAGACATGGTTATTCCAGCTTGCAGGACTGAACTAGGGGAAAAATTTTAATGGGGGTTTTAAAGTAATTTTAAATTAATCAGACCAATTATTAATATTTGTTTTTAATTATGTTTTAATCTGTAGTTTTGGGATTTGCATTTTTATCTGGTTGTTAGCCGCCCTGAGTCCGCAAGGAGAAGGGCGGGATATAAATATAAACAATAAATAAATAAATAAATAAATAAATAAACTGTCAGCCCCCATGCGCTCATGGGCCTCTATGTACGGGGCAGCAGCCTCACCTTGCCTTGCCCCATGGCAACAGCACCCTCACCCTGCCTCACCTTGCCTCACCCCGCAGGACAAGCTTCCTGCCCACCATCCCACCTACCACAGAACCCTGGATCTCCCCCAACCCTGCCCGGCCCCCACAGGTGTCCCCCCATCAAGCAACATTGAGATGGCCACACCCCCGCCCACCCAGTCAGCTGTGAGCACTGCAGCCACGCCTACCCAGTCGGCCATGCTCACCCGCCCCCCGCCCCCGAGGGCATTACAATGCTGATGTGGCCCTCAATGAAATAGAGTGTGACATCCCTGCTCTAGGGTAACTTGTAATTTGTTCCACAATACAAAGTAGAAGTTC